ATCGCCGATGACATTAATACATAAAACGTCACAGTGGACGTTAAACAGCCCCAAACCTAATTTGGAACTCGTAGGTTGTTGTGTGCCGGGATCATGGTCCAAATGTTTTTTTTAAATTCGAAAATGGTACCTGTAAGTTTCTTAATTGGGATTACACATAGCAATCATGGACCCCCCCCCCCCCCCGCCCACTAGCAGACTACTGCCCACTTGCGGGCCAGTTAGGAGTCAGTCACCTTGTACCCCACAGGGACAATTGCCACTGAGGGCGCCCTTCGGATGTTTGAGATGACATGTGATGTATGGCGCTTTGAGTTTAGGCATTTATCAGTGCAAAAGATTATCTATAGTCGCATTATAATTTTGCCGTGGCTGAACTTTCCAGATAATGCGATTAACACTCACTCTCTCTTTCTCTCTCTCTCTCTCACACACACACACACAATGGCACGTTTCCCTCCTCTAATCGCTCGCCCAGAAATCGAACAGCACCGTCAACTCTGAAGCGGACATCCCACAGTCGCTGCGTCTGGTGGCCATGGAGGAGATCAACAGCATCTGCTCCGAGCATTTCAGCGGTGCCTCTCCCGGGAAGGATGACGCCTTGGCTGCATCCGCGGAGGGGCGCAGCCAATCGTCGGCCAGCTCAAGCAGCTCCATCGACATCTGCGCCTAGGGGTCATGCATTTAGTACGAACGCATGGAGGGGGGAGGGGGGGGGGCTAACCCAAATGCGTACGCTTGCTGTATGGGGGGGGGGGGGTCTACTGACAATGTACGCACAGGAAACGGGTGTGGGGGGGGTGTTGAAGCCTCGATAATAATTTGTCTACATTGGCCTTCAAATTAGTTAGATAGTCCGGCGGTGGACTATCTGTTTGCTTCAACGCGTTAATATTATTCATCCTTGATCGCTTCTGCGTGGATAAAATATGGGCCGTTCTATAGGATTCTGGGGGGGTGGGGTGGGAGTGCGTCAAGCGTACGTATGCAGGTGGGGGGGGGGGGTAAAAAGTCCGCGTGCGTACAGGGAGGGGGGGGGGGGTCAAGTTTTGGCAGATTTTTGCGTGCCTACTAAATGGATGGCAACTGAACATTGCTCTCGACAAATTAAGCCATGGAGGGGACCCGCAAACTCTGAAGCTTCGTGGACATTTCATCAATAGCTGTAACATAACAGAAGCGATACACAGTAACTCATGTGATGGCACTGCGACGCATTCATCGATAAGCACTTCCTTTACCGATTTTGAATTATCCTGAAATACAAAAATATGTTTAGTCGCTAAAGGCGAAGGGCAAAGCTCAGTTGATTTCAGCCCCAATATGAATGAGCATTGAAGCTGAAACTATCTTCAATCAAGCCACGTGTTTGACCACGTGTTGCTGGGTTACAGTCTAATTTTTTTACTTTTTAAATGTGGATACATTTTATGCAAACTAATCTTGTAACTTCCAATTTTAATTTGGAGGTATTTCCTGTTTTTAACATTTTCATTTCGCAAGGAAACCTTTCTGCTTAAAAAAAAGCGAAATATCCTAAGATATCTAGAATTGAAGGTTTCGTAACTGCAGGAATTACTATACTCCATGCACGGTTACCCTTCCCTTCCCCCACCTCTACAGCCTATATAAGTCCCTGTACGTTATCCCTCCGGGCGTCTTTCTGTGTGTGCCTCTCCATGTGTGTATGTCTCTTGGTGTGGTGTTGCTCGTTGTGTCCCTCTGTATTGCCCAAAACACCTTTCCCTGTGTGTCTTCTCTGTGTATGTATCTTTTGAAACACGTGGTCAACCAGGTTTAGTGTCTAACTGTGTTGTTGGCCGACTGGGTTTGCATCGCATTATATTTCTAAGGTTTGCTGAGCCCGCGTCTCCCATTTTCTTGCTGTATTTGCCTCCGTGCAGTTTGCCGTTATCTGTGTGCTCTGTGTGTGATGTCCCTCTCTGTATGTTCCCTCGCTGTGCGGTTGACGCCGTTTTCACCTGAGGACGAGCGCTTGTGTTGCGTTCGAAACGTCGTGATTTATTTTTATTTAATTTTATTTCTACATACGTGACTTTACCGAAAGAACCAATGAGTATCCTAAGATAATAATGACGAACAGCTTGAAATTGAAAAGTACGTCTACTTTTATGTCTTTTGTAAATACAATTCAAAAACATAATTTAATAAATGGTATTTAGAAAATGTATTTTTTTCGTGTGGAACGCCTTATTTACTTTTGTATAGTGGATTTTAATAGTATTTATACACTCTATTACAAATATATTCAAGTTTTGTTTTTCAGCCTCTCCCTATGACAAAAATATTTCACAACATTTAAATCCCTGCATTACGTTCCCAGTGGCGCAATGATATGGGGGGTTCAATATCTCGGCTCCTATTATCTGCAGGGTTATCCACGATTTTACTCCTCTTAACCACGAGGTAACAATGTGAGGACAACCCCGCCTGTAATAGTAACAGGGCTGTGGATAACAGGAGACTTCACGAACCCTACAGCTGACATGGATAATGAGTCGTGGGTAATAGGGCCACGGATTAGAAAATGATGAAATTGTATATCTCCCTGAGAGTATAACGTATAACTTGCAGGTATTGCTATGTAATCTAATAAAACAAAACCTTAAATCACCATGAAATGTTTAAAATCAGGGGCGGAGCCAGGATTTTCAGCCCGGGGTGACATTCAACAAATTTTTAATTTCAAGAATGATTGAATGAGAAATCGGCTATACCCCACGCCATCGGCTGGCGACACACTCTGACAATGCAGTTGCACGGAGTCCGCCAGACTGAGTGTCGCACACTTATACGCAGAATGTTTCAGATTTTCGATTTTTTTTCGGGGGTGACAATTATCTACTCTGTCACCCCCCTGGCTCCGCCCCTGTTTAAAATGTATGTCAAAGTATACCAAGTAATAGCTAATCAATAAAAAAACGCAATATAGTATACCCATTGGCACAATAAAGTAAAAGTAAATATAGTGAATGTGTATATATGAAGAGGTAAATGTACAGCCCTGCAATTGCTTGTTCCTGCCTCTGCTGATGCAAGGGCCTCCACTAGCGGTAGCTCTAGAGAGCCCCTTGAAGAGCGTACTTGGTCTCCTCTTCTATGCTGGGCAGACTCCCACGTGATCCGCTGATCGATTGTGATACGCTGGATGGACAGGGGATGGGGTGGGATTTAAATAACTATCACCATTGTTTCAAGCCCCCTGCCGGGAGGTGGAGAGTTTAAACTGGCCGACTGGATTTCAAGCTCAGTGTACTGCACTCACCAATGATGGCAGCATCCTGGGTAATTGTGTATCATCATCATAAGGGTGGACGAAAGTCAACACATTCATCAATAACACTGCATGATTTTTTAAAAATATAATTGCCAACATTTTTGGGCACTGTCCCTCATTGTGTAATTACAGCAGAGCTTACATGCGGTGTGAGTGGACTAGTGGCCACGGGAGGTAATGACGGGGGAGTCAGCCTGCAGTGCGAATACACTAGTGGCCACGGGAGGTAATGACAGGGGGTATCATTTGTGAGTGCGAAGGGACTGGAGGCTCCGAGAATGATCGAGAAGGGGAGCATGGTCAGGTGACGGAAGAGGACGGTGGAGTCTGCCGGTGGAGCGAGCGTCCAGAGTCGGCGAGAATGATCGAGAAGGGGGGCGTGGCCTCGTGTCGGTATATAAGGGGGGGATGTGCTGGAGACTCGGGGCTGTTGCAGTGGGGGTCTCTGCCTGATGTCAAGTGAAGGTGTCTTCAATAAAGTGCCATCTCAAGAGAAGTGTGTCAAGTCGTCATTACAATTGCACAAGCGCTATATTGTTGAAGGTTTTGTTTTATTAATTGTGCCTGTGCACCACTGCCAATAGCAGCATCGCCAAACGTTGGTTCATAATTACAGCACTTGCATCATCGGCTGTTCTCAAGATAATGAATATCTCCTTAAGATAAAGCCCCCCCCCCAATCCCCACCTCTGCAATACCTTTGCTCGCACCGCCAGGTAAGCGAGCACAAACGTCAGGAGTGGGAAAACACGTGGCCCTCTCGCCCACAATTCGTCTGTGGCTTCTCTTTAACACAGTAGCTGTTGCAACATTTCAAGTATATTACGTAATACATCAGCGCATTTTTTACAGTATATGGGCCATCCCCTCCCTGTACGCACGTGGACTTTTTACACCCCCCCCCACCTACGTACTTAAAGCCTGACGCATTCCCCCTCCCCCCGAATCCTATAGAACGGCCCATATTTAATCCACGCAGAAACGATCAAGGATTAATAATATTAACGTGTTTAAGCAAACAGATAGTCCACCGCCGGACTATCTAACTCATTTCAAGGCCGATGTAGACAAATTATTATCGAGGCTTCACCTCCCCCCCATTTCCTATGCGTACATTGTCAATAGACCGCCCCCCCCCATACACAAGCTTACGCATTTGGGTTACCCCCCCCCTCCCCCCTCCATGCGTACGTACTGAATTAATGGCCCCATACTTGTTTGCGGCAGGCAACGGTGTACAATAATACATCGTACGTGCGATTTCTCTCTCTCTCCTGGCTGCTTGACACGCGTCTTAAACAAGCGATGCCGCCGTGAACTGACGATTCGTTGTTTCCCCTCCTTCCAACACCACCGGTCCCCTTTGCATCATCATCATCGGCTGTTCTCAAGGCAGTCATCTGTGTGACTCCCACCGAACGGTAACCGATGCGAACTTTTACAAACGGACTTTGCTATAAAAAAAATTTCACCCTACAATGATGCGTACAACGCTGCTGTCAAGCAAGCTGTAAGCAGCCTGGGAAACTTACTACCCGCCCCCCCCCCCCATGCTTATACTGGATGACCTTGGAGGTGCAGCGCACCCGAAACAGCTGACGTGGCCCAAACCCAACCTTTGATCAATCGAGGGTCACTTTTTCCGATGGCGTAGTCAATGTCTGGTGTACACGCCGCGTGTGGACTTAGCCGGGGTCGCGATTAGGGGACGGGGGTGGGTTGGTTGAAAGACTTGTCTCCCTGGAAGTTGGCCGCGACCATGCATGTTGCACATAGTCAAACTAAAGCCGGATCAAGGTCATTGGCTCGGGGTGGTGGCATTTACAAGAAAATATCAAGATAACCCCAATCCCCCTATTGACCGCCACCACTGGAAGAGTTGTACACCATCAGCACTGAACATCAGAACCCTCGCGTTCTGTCGCCAAAGCACATATAAACGAGGCAAGTGTTCTTTTGCGACAGGACCATTTGTTAATTCCGTAGGCAACACGTTTTCGGTTGTTGTTGAGGAGCGAGTCGCGTCTCTCTCTCTTTCTCTCGGTCACAGAGTTGGTGGCATCCTTAATTTTTTTTAACTTTTTTTTCCTCCAAGCGCACTTAACTTATTGATTCGATTGATGCAACCGAGAGGGAGGGAACACAACTTCAGGAGCCGTAGCTTTAGCAGGACACGAGAAGCCATTCATTTCATCTGACGCAGTGTTCACAATTTAGCAAACGGCACGATAATTCCCCCCATCGGTAACAAAATAACCATGGCTGAGGGTGAGTACATGTCACACCATACGGAGCAATTTGCGTGTATCTCGTTGTGTATATTGAATTGACTTAATTGTATATACTGCATACGATGTGTTTGTTTTCAGTGTAAATATACACTCATTTTAAACATAAGAGAGGTATACAACTTAACTGCAACGATTGTTATGATGATCACGATAATTTTGGGTACAAAACTGAATCATACTTTAAATGTTTGTCTGAACGTCCTTCTTGAGTTATCATTAACGCATGGCCAAATATGAGTGGGGCATCTTTGTAACACGGTACACTTTTAACATTCGTATGCAGTACAATCGTACATCGTAATGCATCTACACAGTCCGTGTAAAATGTCATAGAAAATGCACAGAGGAGGAGGCGGTGGAAACTACTTTTGAGAATGAGGACTCAAATCACCGGCTCACGTTTATAAAATCCCTTTATCGGGTGAAAAGTTTTAATCAGTATGCAAGAGAATGAGGACTCAAATCACCGGCTCACTTTTATAAAATCCCTTTATCGGGTGAAACGTTTTAATCAGTATGCAACTATGAATGTTTCACCCACGACGTAGCACGCACACAGATACACATGTGCGTTTTGTCAATCCACTGCTGGATGAAGGCCTCCCCACGCCATGCGGGTCACGGAGGTTATTTGACCATACTTCACCGCGCTGGTCAGTCCGTGATGGTGAAGGCATATAGCATTGAATATACAGTGTTAGGGTTAGCATTGAATATACAGCGTATAATATACATTGTGTATTCAATGCTATTTGTAAAGGGAGGCGTCTAAGCTGTAGATGAGAGCTAAGGTTCTTCCAGAAACTCAGAGCAGCAACGCATATTTTTTTTCTTACCAAAACAGTTTTTGCAAATTTAGTCGGAACAAGGGGGCACTTCTGAGGGCACAGGAGGGACTTGGAGGAACTGAGCGGACCTTTTGGTTAATTTGGTGGGTTTGTTTAAGAGAACCTTCAGGATGAAGACAGCCCAGTGATAGTCTCTCCGGATATCCAAAGGGGAAGGCGGCTATGAGTTGATGTACAGGTGACAATGATGAGTTCTATAAGGGGAAGTCAGGAGTAAAACGGAGGGGGAGTGGTTTCATAGAATGATTTGGTCCTTGAAAGTGCAATTATGGTCAAGTGCATTCCCAGTAAATTAACTTTCACACAAAACACTATAGCATTCAATTTGTTTCTGTACTTACGTTTATGATATACAAGATAATTATCAGTGCATGTTTTGTTTGCATGTTCACCACAAGTACGTGTGGTTAATGTAGACTTTGATTCCTTACAAAAAGTATATATTTGGTGTTTGAACATCTTATTGTTTTATATTTTTATTATTTTATTGTTTCCCTTCTACGTGACTTTACCGAAAGAACCAAGAATTTCGTAACACCTGTTTTATTTCCAGAAAGCGTAAACCCTAATCATTATTTGATACTGCCAAAAAGGTCCCTTGATATTTAATTAAATGCATTGGGTTGATGGTCACGCACTGAACCTTACTGTCAGTGGTAGGACGGGTGGGAGAGTACTGCCCTCTACTAGGTGAACCAAATGTCAATTCAAAGTATCTCAGAGGTAGCTCTGTGATAGCCACTTCTGTGGGCGATGTTAGTGCGGTGTATTGAAGTTACACTCCAAAGTGAAGCAAACGCTCTCGTACTGAGTTAGGCGAGTCACTGATATTGTGGACAGCCCGCGTTAATGTGAATTGATGTGTACATTTGGTTTGTGGGGAGCGGTATTGCAACGGTTAGCACACTGCTCTACGAAACCCGGCGATCAGAGTTCGATTCCCGCTCACGACCAACACCATTGACGATTATATGAACTGGGCCTCCCCTAGACCGACTCAGCCTCAAATTAGTACCTGGTGCGATGTGTAAACATCGCCACTCGAGAGACAAAGAGGCGGCCGGGTGTGGTGTTGGCCACCCACCGCAACGTGTGCCATTCCGGCCTTTATAGGGTTTGCTACTCGCTAACAGCACTTGCCCCAACAGTCCGTTAAGGCCCTACGGGGGGAATCTTTGTCTTTGTCTCGGTTCGTCTGCGCGCGACAAGTTCGCAAGACGATGACGGAGTTCTGGAAGATTCACTCCAAGGGCGCGACGGTGGAGGAGATGATGCTGGACTCGAGCGCGAGCACGCTCTCGCAGTTCGAGAAGCCGGAGATCCTCTCGCTGCTGCCCAACATCGACGACGCCAAAGTGCTCGAACTGGGTGCTGGTATCGGGTGCGTGAACAACGAGAGCCGAGGGGTGGAGGGGCTCTGCTGATGCCTTGCAGTGGGCTCCAGAACAACGACAGTAATAGGGGGGTACGACTGCTGTCAAAGTCATCCTGACCTTCTAAAATTCACCTGATTTTTATTTATTTAATTTTATTCATCTTCTGTCCCCAATTTTAACCCAAAATTATTGTCGGTGTCACCAGATGTAGTGTCCATTCGGGTCTTTTGCAAGGGCTGTGCGAGCCTTGGCGATAGAGAGCGGCTCATGATGTCACAGAGCTACCTTCAGCAGTCTTCTTTTATGCTGACCTGGACAGCTGCACCCCACAACCCTTCATGTTAGAGAATGGCCCACGGAAGCAGATACCACAGAGTTGCATCTGAAATCCATACAAGTGGCACCTGGTCCACACGGTCGATGGGAAGTACTTTCCCACCTGCCCTGCCACAAAGAGTATTTTTTTTAATTATCTGGAATTCATATTAATTAACTGAAGAACTATTACCAGCACAATTCATTGATTTCCGTGCAATAGTTTTGATTTATCATGTGACACAGTTGTTTTTGCTCTGATTTCTATTTGCTACATCGCTGCAAATGATTTGCTTTGCTTTTGTTCTTATGGTGACCCAGCTAACAATTGCAAATGAGACTATCCTGTTCTCTTGAGTTCTCACCTGGTTAAACTAAACTCGAAACTTAACATCCACTCCGAAATAGATGGCACGTATTATTTACGGTTAATACGCCCATAGTGGTAAGCAGGGTGGCCGCGGGGCTCGAAACCACAAACTGCATGTCCATCAGATTTGGTGCTGTTATCAAATATTGAACAATTGTCTCTTAACAGCCGCGCTAGAAATGCACAGCTCAGGCAAGTTTGTCGGTCAGGTGATGCAACGTGGTGAACGAGTACAAAAGGTTATCTGAGAAGTGTGTTCAGCTACAGATTAGCTACAGACACGGGAATTACACCCTTCGCTAGATGCGCCAAAAAAAAAGGAACGGTGGATTAAGTTGCTCTGTTATCGCCAAAGTGCAGGCTTTGCTCTAGGACAGTATGAGAACTCCAACTATGTGACACGAGACTTATTCGTTATACATTCACCGGCGTGCTGAAATCCCCTTACCACCTCGACTCCACATTAACACCTCCCCCAAGCTCTTTAACCTTTAACTTTCTGGCCCTCATGTCCACTAAAATTATTTGAAGTTGTTGAACAGAGAGGCACTCAGAGAGATTATGAAGCCAAAGGTCAAGCAATGCTACATTTCTGTGGAGCGGTGGCATAGCGGCTAAGGAACTGGATGATGATTCAAGTGATCTGGATTCAAATTCCGGATCCGGCACCGACCGGTGGCAATTGGCATCTGTCACGGGTTCTGTACCCCCTCTAGGTACGCATTTTATAAGTACTATACTTGGTACAGTGTGCAATCAAGGGCACTGAGAAGACAAGTGGCCATGTATGTTTCCAGCTGACCCAATAGCCCACTTGTGCACTGTGTGTGTCCCAAAAGGCACTTACTAACGCAATTTGCCACAACAGCTTATCTAGCTAGGATCTTTAAACTTTTGTGCCTGCGAGCAAGATATGTTTGGATGGTATTAATACATTCATGTGATGTTGAGCATATGTATGCGCACTTAATACCTAAAGGAACGCGTGTGAAATATTGCAAAGCAAAAAGTAAGTTGCACAGGAGCGCTCTCCATCCACGAATGAGAAATCGCGAAGTGTATTTAACCACAAGCGTCTGATGTTGTTCTACGTCTCTCTTCGTGTCCTAGTCGTTTCACTGGACACCTGGCCAAACAGGCGCGCCACGTGACAGCGGTGGACTTCATGCAGACATTTCTTGACAAAAACCGAGAACTGAACAGCGACCATGTGAACATAAAATTCCTGCAGGCTGATGTCACACAGCTCCAGTTCCCAGAAAACAGGTCCGAAATGGTTTATACAAATCACCGATGCTAACTTTGCACTTTTGAAAGCGCATGTCTTTAGAACTGCTTCGTTTTGTTGTCCTTTCCACCGCACCTCCGACTAGCGCGTATCGCCTACGTGCGGTGCGAAATAAGTTCAACATATATACATAAGTTTTAAGAGTACATTATATTGTTCGGTAGCCAGAATTTTTTTTTTGGGTAGAAGCAGAAAATAAATGATGATTTAAGACCGGAATTATTAAGTAAAAAAAGCGTCTTTTTAAAACATATCTTGCCTTCAAAAATGTTTTTTTAATGACACTTTTGTGAATACAGAAGGCAGCGGACGATATTACAGTGATTACAAACATCTACAACACACACTCACACGTCAATTGTAACGAATGACAGCAAACGAATGTCAAAACTTCCCTCCAACGCCCGATGATGGTTTGCGCAGAAGATTAATTTCTGGCACGGTGCATTTAATACATTCGAGAGGGCCTCTATTTCTGACTTGCGCAATACGTCTACGTATATACAGTACCCGTATTGCAAACGTCAATAATGTCGCCGATGGCAACGCACGTGCACATTTGTGTACATTTCCAGGACATTCTGTACAAACCACACATCACCGCGGGAGTTAACTTCCCAGTCACGGCCGGCCAGTAAAATATGCTTAGGACCAGGACGCATTACGAGACCGACGTAACAAACAAAAAAAATCGCAGCCAAAAGGACAATATACATTTTGGTTACGCGGCACCGTGCGTGTGGTTGTTTGCATAGCGGGGAGGGGAGGGGGTTGGTCAGAAGTCACGTTTAAAACCGCACGTACGGCTGGTAACAACGCGCCCTCGGTGGGACAAGTGTAAATGTGAAGGCCACGTGTCTTTTTTTTTGTTTCCATTGGTACACAATTGCAACAGACAGTCGTAGATAATGGCCGAATTGGGTTTCTGGTGGATCAACATTTCAAACTGCTGACACGGCACGAGTGAGACTCCGTGTTAAAAAGTCATTTGTTTTTAAATAACTTAAACAATATTTTTGTTTAAATATCAGATATACAATTGGCAGTTAGAAAGTTCTGAAAACATGATACGCAAAAGTACCAACAAATTTAATTTCAGGCTCCATATCTAATTATGTTATAAATTTAACAATTTGCCCGTTAACAACTCAGTTAATGAATTATGAACTTAATAATCTATATGAATCATCAAATGTTTTTTTAACTACATTTAAAAAAAGGAACGCCGGCAGTAGATGAAAAAAACATGTGCAAGTGGGCACACTTTATACATCGTCAAAATTCCCTGAGATCTTATACATGTACACATAAAAGCATAAGACTTAGAAGGCAATTGTTGAAAAAAGACGTGTATTGAATTTTAATCCTATTGAGTAAAAATGGTCTTTATCAAGGGGAAATTCTACAGCCAGTCCTTTGGCTTCGTGGACATTGGCTGTGAAGACCTCACCATCGTGATGCTTGTTCTTCACGCAGCTTCGATGTGATTTTCTCAAACTGGCTGTTCATGTACCTAACTGATGAGGAGTTGCTCCGGCTGGTGAACAGCATGCTGCGTTGGTTACGCCCTGGAGGTCATCTTTTCTTTCGCGAGTCCTGCTTCCACCAGTCTGGTATGGATGTTATTTAAAAAAATAAACTTATTTGTTTTATTTTACCTGGCGAGGCCCACTGAGCTATATAGCTCTTTTTCAGAAGCAACCTGGCCACAAATGATAACTCAACGAAGTGGCTTATCATGTGGAAATGCATCGCAGACAAATACTCTTTAACGTATGTTTCTAAATGTGGAGGGAAAAACCGGAGGACCTGGAGAAAAGTCCACGCAACCGTGGGGAGAGAGACACGCAAACTCAAAATACACAGCCGTAGGGTTGGGATCAAGTTCCACGATTTCCTGTATACCAGGCAAGGTAGTTAACATCTTGCCACCAGATGCATGATGGTAACCCACAAACAAGCTCGGAGGCTCCCAGGGACTCTCAGGTCACGACACGTGAAATACAAATTATCCATGTGGACCTGCTACCTGGCTTTATTTTGTAAATTGTTTGCCCGTATGCAGTTGACGTATGGATTTCTAATTTGTAACATGTTATTCTCTCCGTGTGTGTATGAAAATACAGTACATATGTCTGTTATGGAGATAGCGATAAGTTAATTTCTGAAGATTTTTTTATAAAGAAAAATATACCGTAAAAACATTAGTTCAATAAAATTAATTAGTTTTATATTGTAAAATATATTTGCGTGGTACATCTAGATATAAAAAATATGTAAGCTTAAACATGATCAATATTAAGACTCATGTTACTTAGAATGTTATTGATGCAAAATAAAGTTTAACATTTTCCGGGGTAAAGTTATTATGGAATATAACAAAAAATGTGAAAATCACAAAACTCAACGTAAGCCCAATTAGGGATACTATAGCTTCTAAATGTTTTTACATGGGAGTTATGTTTCAATACATAGGTAACCTCGTTTCATCGCCATGTCTAATGTGCTTATGTGTTCATACAATTGTCACTGAAGAATTCATAATTGTTATGGTTTGTGCCTGCAGGCGATTCAAAACGAACCTTCAATCCCACGATTTACAGAAAACCTGCTCAATACAATCACATCATGCAAGCTGGCTTCCAGCAGGCAAAAGGGAACGAAAAGAGCTTTGGCTTTGAGTTGGTTATTTCCAAATCTGTGCAGACATACATCAAGGTGAGTTGATTATGGCAGTAAATTTGTAATTTATCCAGTATACAATGAATAATTCGGAGAAATGCAGCACGATAAAATTGGATAACGATATGTTAAAAAAGACCTTGCCTTTTTGCTCAATGAAAAAAAGGTTACCAGAATTTTTTGGAAAAAAAACTTTGGAAATAATAGTAGCACGTAGAGTTTGGAAAGATCAACACGACCTGATGCATGCATGACAATGCTTGCTCACCCCCCCCACCCACCCACCCACCCTCCCACCCTCGTGCGCAGCTGAAGAAGAATCAGAACCAAGTGTGCTGGCTGCTGGAAAAGGTCTCACGGGAAAATGCGGGCCACCAGGGTTACGCCACCTTCCAGCAGTTCCTGGATGGGAAGCAGTATTCCCGCCAAGGCATCCTCCGCTACGAGAAGATCTTTGGTGAAGGCTACGTGAGCACTGGAGGACCTGATACCACCAAGGTGTGCATTTCAGACATTTCATACAATCTTCTTCTCCTTTAATGAGAAAGGAAAGTAATTGGCTACAATTGCATGTTTTATGTTATAAGCGATACCGCGACACTCGGGTTAGCGGAGTGGAGTCCGCTTGTTCAAGCATTCAATGACAAAAAAGCAGCCAAGTTTTTAAAACAATATTACAGTATTCAAGTTTGTGCTTTTTTGTTTCAGGAGTTTGTATCACTGTTGGATTTGCAAGTGGGACAGAAAGTGCTGGATGTTGGGTGTGGGATTGGAGGTGGTAACTTCTACATGGCCAAGGTACCTTGATTACACTTGTGGCTGTCTTCCTGTTTCTCTCTTGATCATATTGTTTGTACTATTATTATTTATTCTGCTTGTTTGCCCAGGTAAGCCTCACTGTGTCCCATGCCTCTTTTTCAGACGGATCTGGCAGTATTGATTTGCCATTTGTGTTGCGTGAACTTTATTTTTAAAAAAAGTTCCATAATTTTTTTTTGCAAACCCTTACACAAACATTGAATCATTATTACATACTGTGCTCTTGCTTTTATTGATATTTACATATACTTTCATTCACATATACTATCTAAACATTCACGAATTTTTCAATGAATATTTGGAGTAATGTGTTTTGCTCATTTTAAAACCAACACTAACCATCGCATCTCTTAATACAAGTGTCGTGAGTTCAACTGAGTCACAGACATACTCTTTGGAAGCAACACATTTATTAACACCAAGACACGGGGTAACTACCCCTTAACAGAATAACAACTTATGGTGGTGACCACCAGGCAAACTACGCTAATCACACCGTAACTAGCTACAACGGACCAGACCCTAGCTTGGGTCCCAGTCCACATGTTGGAGACTCTGTAGGCCGTAGAACGTTGATGAAGGTTTCTTCAGGATGAACAACAGTGCCGGTCCCTCTGGGGGACCCGGCTTATATCCTCTGTAGCGTGGCTGGCTCCGCCCCTGGCCACGACCACCTTCCAGAATCCTCGAGCAGGATCTCGACCCGGACCACGTGACCACCCCTAGCACCCACCTGGGGCCCTTTGTAGACTTAACCGGTCACGTGTCCTCTCGGGTCAAGAGGAGTGCCATGGCCCTTAGTAACCCCGTTCCTATGGCCGGCACTTCCACAGCCTATCCTGTAGGGGCTGACACTGCACGCCGAGCGTGGTGCCATCCAGCGCTATCGATCAGCTCTCACCAAGCCCCTCTAGGGTCGGTACTGCACCCACATCCTCGTGGTGTCCGCGATGTCGCTACACCGCACGCCGTGACTCTCTAGGGCCGGCATTAGCCAGTAACATCCCGCGATGTCACCACGCAAAGTTATAAAGGACTGACCACCTTCTGCCACAGGCCTTCAAGGTGGACGTGCTTGGGATGGACCTGTCCTCTAACATGGTAGAAATTGCCATGGAGAGAGCCACAGAAGACAGCACATTACTGGTACGCCACATTCATGACAATTCTGGCCAACACAGAATGGCTCATTGTACAACACAAGTTAATGGATTTGCATTTACTGTACTGAAAATTGTAAAATTATGACAGAAATGTGATTTCTTAAAATCAAAGCACTTAATTAAATGCAGCCTTTAAACTTTTGTGTAAACATTAACAGTGCTTGGTCTCACTAGGCCTGGAGTTGTATCTTTGTTGTCATCGTGTGCATTTAAATGCTCTTCACGTCTGCTTCTAGGTGCAGTTTGAAATCAGTGATGCGACCAAACGGGACTTTCCGGAGGAATCGTTTGACGTGGTGTATAGCCGTGACACCATCTTGCACATTGCAGACAAGTTTGCCCTCTTTAAAAGATTTTACGTAAGCGCACATTTTGAAAAATCCTCTTTCATGCTCTCTAATTCATAATTCTAATAAAAAAACATCGCTAAAAATATATTTCACTTTATATATATGGAATCCTTATTTTTACTTCTCAACGCAAAATGTATTGAAAAGATATTGTGAAGTCATATTATGTTGATCGTTTTTCTCCCCTTATACCAGAGGTGGTTGAAACCTGGGGGAAAGTTGCTGATCACTGACTACTGTTGTGGAGAAAAACCCTGGACATCTAAGTTTGAGGATTATGTCAAACAAAGGGGCTACATCCTGTACTCTGTGTCCAAATATGGCAAGGTAAGCAAAGAATCATATATCATAATTTCACAATGGGAAGGGTAAAATACAAGCTTGGCTGGACTTAAAATGTGCTCTTATCTCCTTCCACACCTTTGCTGACATGTGGGACCTTACATAAATTCAACTTCTGCATAAATATACGACAGCCAATTGCAACACCAGGCCATCTCCAAGCTTTGCATATCAAAACGAAATAACTAACGCTTTTGTGAAATGTCACCATCGTCTGAGATAAAAACGCGACTGTAAAACCTTCCCTAAAAGGAAAAAAAAACTGTATGGTGTTTCCTAGTTTTTGGAAGAAGCAGGTTTCCAGAATGTTCGAGCTGAAGACAGGACGGATCAATTCGTGGACATTCTTAACAAGGAGCTGGAACGGACCAAGAGCATTCAGGATGAGTTCATCAAGGTGAGACGCAGAAAAGGCCCACATTACAAACTTACACACATTTTTAGTTTCTCCTGCCGATACTCAGCCCGTTATCTGTCACAACCTGTGGGAATTCAAATCGGCAGCGCATGTAGCTTTTACATCACGATTGCAAAAAGTCCAATTTTACAAAATAGCGGAAAATGGGAGAATTTGTCCACGTTATGCCACATACTTGTGGAATACGGGAAGCAAATTAGCACAATATATGTCAAGCGGAAAGCCTGCGCATGCATGCGTTAAGACCTGAGAACATGCATAATATCACTAAAACGTAGATGTGTAACATTCACAATCAGTGTATTTAAGAACTGTGGTTCACTGCAAATTGCCTGTCACACAAGACATTGTTTACGATTAAGATTCAGTGTAAATGCCAAAGGCTCTAAAGCCGAAATAAAACAATGTATACGAGTGGCAGAATGAATTATTCAAGCTGTCCTGTCTGACTGTTATTTCTTAGTCGAATGATAACAATTAGGCATGTATCAGTCGATCAATTAAAATCGATTATTATGCTCACACATGCGTAAAAGCAAGTACATGTTTGACTTAAAGCTTCCGTGACTTGCAGGAATTCATACTCTTTGGGTCTTTCGTTAAAGTCACATAGATAGAAAAATAATAATTTAAAAAATCGCGACGTTTGGATCGCAACGCTACACCTGATGACGATTGCTTGTGTTGCGATCGAAACGTCGTGATATTTTTTTTTATTTTTTCCATCTACGTGGCTTTACCGAAAGACCCAAAGGGTAAGCAAGTACGTGTTTTAAACAAAGCACATGCAAATCATACTTGAGAAGAATGAAACAAACCAAAACAATGCAGAACACATGAAAGAGACGTATATATAAAAAAGAACAAATTAGAACCAAAAAAAATGCCCCCGAATTATAACAATTCGTGGAATAGGACGTGTGGGCTGTGGTGGTGGGCAGCTCGTTGAACAATATGCCTCGTAAGTGTTTTGAAAAGCAGTATAGGTTTAAGTGAAATTGCACACTTGCGGGTTTTTTTTTTTTACACAATACCGAATTCTACGTATAACACAACGCGTTGAACATTAGGAATTCTCTGAAGACGACTACTCGTACATCGTGGACGGCTGGAGCAAGAAGCTGGAGCGCTGCGAAGCGGGAGATCAGAAGTGGGGGTTGTTCTATGCGGAGAGACCCGTCAACGCCAGCAATGGTGTCTGAGACAACCAATATCTGAATGTTTTACTCGCACCGCAGTCATTCATACACACATGCGGTCAATGTATTTTTGCTTAACACGGCAAACATCACGACGTTTGAATCTGTGGAGTATGACCAGTGTGACGATGTTATCTGTCCAAATAAGCTCCAAGACAGCTGCTATATATTTAGAGCTATTCTATGTGCCTAGAATACATTCACAAATCACGTGAGAACTAGTACATATCTTAAACGTGTTAATAAAAAGCTCAATTTAGGAGCTCCAAATTTACACTCAATACTTAAGTGTAATATTTTGCCCATAAATCTTTCATTTAAATAATGATTATCTTAATACAATTAACTGAATTTAAAAGTACAGTGCAGATTTAGGAATTACAAATAAGTACGTGTTTTATGCGATTAAAAAACATGTAATTTCCCCTTCCCATTTAAACAATAAACCACTACATGACCAGTAATGTATGTTCATTATCATTTGCATTAGCAGAGCACAGCACCGAACAAATGTACTGCAATGTTATTTTCATGTTTTCTGTTTCACAAAACTATTATACATATACAATTTACGTGATGTTTATAAGACCAATGACAACCACTTGACATTACTGGAGACCGGGTACATGTGAAATGACGCACAAACGCTGCCAAACAAGTCTAATTTGTTAGTGGTGTCTCACTCCTATGTTTTACAAAGCGTAATAAAATACATTACAGCACTGCTACTTTTATATAGCGGCTGAATGGCGCTGTAATAATGTACTACTGTATGCTTTAGCAAAGAGTGGTTAGATAAGTTGCAAATCTAAAAACCCCTCTGTAGAATGTATTATGTAGATAAGCTATGGCAAAGCGGCAAAATCGGGACAGAAATATCAAAAAATTTTATGAAAGAGCTAAGGATGGCCAAATGCGCACATTAATGGCAACATTAATTTGTTTAAATAAGGCCACAAACGTACATGAAATTACCTTTATAATGCACCCCGTATGTACTGTATATAGCATGTAAATCTAACTGCAATGGAAACTGCTTTGTAGAACAGTGGGACGTGCACCTTGGGGAAAGGAAGTAGAGATGGGCAAAGGGTAAAAGGTCTCGAGTCTGGACATGAACAGGAAGTCAGTAGCACAGATGGCTGGAGGGAGGTCCAGACTAAGGGGGCAGTTGAGAACATATTGAATGTGAACTTAGAGAGAACGGCCTTTGTTGCTCTGTGGTCATCCTATTGTGCAATGATGCATATAGAGTAATCCCCACCATGGAAATGTGCAATTTCCAGCACTGTTTCAGGCCCACAAATAAAGATAACTCTCAAGTACCGACCAGAGCAGGTTTGAGCATTGAACCACAACTAGTTAGCCTGTGGCTGCATCTGCAGCTCTAAATGTATATTGCCTGCTGCAGTATAATTCTAAACTTCAATCACCGTAACTCAACAAGGACGTTCAATCTCTTGAGGCCCCCACCGCTCTTCATCTTTAGTATTCGCCTCTTACTTCTAAGACCCCAACTCCACTCTGATCAGGCCCCAACCTTCCCTCCTTGACGAGGCTACCAGGTGCCTTTCCCTTTTAGGCCCCGCCTTTTCCATTTTAATCCCCGCCTCTTTATGATTAGGCCCCGCCCCACCCCTTCACGAGGACCCGGAGGTTTGGGCTGCTTTGGGTAGTGGTGGGAGTGGCTTCACAATGTAACGACTATATTCTTAGCTCTTTCGGTAAAGTCACGTTGAAAGGAAACAATAAAATATATATTTTATTATTTTATTGTTTCCCTTCAACGTGACTTTACCGAAATAGCTAAGAATATGAATTACTGCAGTCACGAAAGCTTTAAATCAAAATGTAACGACTGTGACGACGAAGTTAGTAAGAGACACTTTTTTTTTATTTGGACAGCCACAATAAGGGACCCTTAGGCTTAGTGCTTGTCTTCCAGCTTGTAATTTCCTCCGAACGTCCCCACTCCTCGTGCTCTCCCCTTTTATATTCCTCAGCCCCCTTTCTCGAATCTTCGTCCTTGTTTTTCCCCTTGCCAATCCCTGTCCTTTCCTCTCTAATGGTTACTCTCTCTGTTTTCCAATCGATCTCGTTCAAACCTTATTCCTCCAAACCCTTTAAAAGTCTGCCTCCCGACCAATGACCCATGGAGGCCAACTTTCTACCAATCGGAGACCTTTGTTTATTTTAAAATAGCCGTTAGACTACATATTGGCTTGGGGTAATTTTTCGGTCATTACAACAACCAAAATGCTTCTGAATACATCAGCAATATAACATCCAAAACACGATTTTGTTCAACCTATACTCCGGGGGAACAACAGCCCCGTGCGACGCACATCTTCAACTTCAAACTCACGGCCACGTGTGTACACGGTAGCAACGGAAGGGTCCTGACAAACTCATAGGAATAACCTCTAATCTCGGTGCAGGAACTGTGCTGTTGGGTTTTTTTTTATAACGAAACGGAACAACACTGTAGGGTAAAAGCCACAAGCCACGGTGCACATTGGTTAACTACACCAACAACTTAAAAAAAAATACCACCGCTCTTGTGGACACGTGTATAGGTTGTGTGGTTGTCTGCCAAAGTAGAGATTTAAACTGTAATGTTCAAGATGCCCTTAAAAGCCACTTGCGACTGCTTCCCCGCCATTCTGTTGACAACGTAAATGCTACTGCTGTGGTTGTTGGTGCGCTCGACGTGATTTTCAAGTATTTTTGTTTGTTCCATTAACGAGCTCTTCAAGCCCGTGTTTTTCTGCCACGGACACGCACATCGGGTACCTATTTACTTACAATGAGCCTCAAGCGTCTGAGAATTGTCACTCGGACACAAGCGCCACGTTACAAAAAAAAGCGCGTCCCCATCCAGACACTCGGGCGTCCGATGAGCACAGTTGGCCACGTACGGCGCGAAAGAAGTTAAACATACACATGTACTACACTATACACTACATTTTGTTTCAAACGTTGATGTCTACTTAACTTGATGCACGCCATGATGAACTAAGAATGCATTTTACCCACTTGTTTCACTGCAAGCTCCTTGACGAATGCTTGCAGATGTAACCATGGTGATTATTGCACATTTTATTGAATAATCTTTACGGTTTTTTTCAGCGATGTTTTTTTTTTCCCAGGTTTTTTTTGTTGTAATGTTTTTTTTTTTCTAGAAGTAAATCAATCACTAATTAACGATACACGCACGCTCCTGTAGATCCTAAGGCACAATATACGTGACCGCGGAGCATCGGACATGTAACAACAGCATGCACACAGCGGCTGGGGCAATCCACTGCTGGATGAGAGAGGCTTTGCCCTCACGCCGTGCTGGTTGTGGGCGTTATTTCACCCATACTTCACCATGACGCCTGGTGAAATGCGGGAAGCATTCTGCACGATGGGGTTTTTGCTGCACTGCCCTCTGCTGCCCACCACGTAAATATAGGCTCGAAGAAAAGCCGTCTCTGGTGTGGACCAATCAAGTTCAAGGACAGTGCCAATATTATTATCAGAGTTGTCTATTTTTGTTTGCATTTTGACTGCTTGTGTTGTGGTTGCCCCAGTCGCTGTGTCAAGGCACCTTAATTACTCTCACACAGCTTAAAGGTCGCGGTCTGAGCTTGGCTGTGTTTCACTCCAGCGCTGTCCTCGAGACAGTCTGGTCCCTTCACCTGATGAAGGCCGCTTGTGTTGTGGCCGAAACGTCGTGATTTTTGTTGTTTTATTTTTTACCTACGTGACTTTACCGAATAGAACCAAAGAGTGTGTTGTGGTTATTGCAAACATTATCCCTTGTATGAAGGTGCCAGTTTTGGTGCCAGATAAAAGGGTAAAAACATATTACTACAAGATATTTATAATATAAAAAAACCCACTCGTGTAAGGTTTGTACGACTGGGGGGTTAAATTAAAACCACGCCGTTAACGCTTCAGGAACCGTCGCCACGGCAACGCCGCTAGCGGTGTCACGTGGCTCTTTTCGACTTTGGACCAATCAAAAACCGTCTCCGTCGTCACGTGATACCAGGCCGAGCCAATCGATGGCGCCGCGTCTGAGGTATGGCAAATGGGGAGCGGTGGTGCAGCGGTTAGCGCTACGAACCCGGCGATCCGGGTTCGATTCCCGCTCACGGCCACCAACAAACCGGTAACGATTATCCAAACCGGTCCCGGGCCTTCCCCTAGATCTACTCGGCCTCAAACGAGTACTTGGTGCGGTGTGCTGTAAACATCGCCACTGGGGGGAGACAAAGGCGGCCGGGCGTGGTGTTAGCCACCAAACCCCGTCGTGTGCCGTTGCCGCCCTTCATAGGTGCAACTCGCTAACAGCAACCTGCCCCCGACACTCTGTTACAGGCTACACGGAGGATGCCTTCTTTGTTCGTCTTTGATAACTCCGTTGCCATGGACACGTAGGCAGGTGCGCGTTTGGCGTTTTTAAAAAAGTTTGACTGCAAACGCGTTCCGTACTTAGGTAATCACGTGACCTAGGGAGGGAGGGGGTGGAGGGTCGCGTTGCCGTGGAAACGTAAACAGGCGACGGCGTCCATTGCCGAGTGAGTTGGATTTAAATCCCCTTCTTAAATGCGAATGTGGAAATGTGTAACGCCGCATTGAATAGCGGTGATCAAATGTGGCAACGTATACTGTCGTCGTATTACTGGTCGAATTACTAAAGATTGCATTGAGAGTAACGTGTTAAGTGAATGCTCTGTAGTCATGTTTTATCCACTGCTACAAACGTCGAAACGTTCTTACACGCCCCTGCTGGACATGTGCGAAAAAGAGCTTTATAGCTCATCGGATTCCTCCAGTCTAAATTCTGATTCTGCCACGAAGTGGCGGGGACGTGACCACGGCGATTGTGCCAGACTAGGTGCTGGAATTCCACCACCAGTCTTCATACCTGTCAAACCCATACGGTTTGCCCGTATTCGTGTACGGGGAAATTGAGTTTTTTTTACCTAATTGTTTGCGTTTCTCCCTTGTGATGGGACTTTGTAGGATGAACTTTGAGGTTTATAAGGGCACTGGGTGACCATTAAGGTCTGAATTGGTCTGTAATAAGGTAGGGCACTGATGAGGGGTCGACAGGTATGAGTCTTTTCCTCCGCACATCAACTCTGCGAAGGACGAGTCCTCCACAAACCCGCTACTTTCTGTAACAATCCGACGTATCCAGTTTACATTTGTCGCCTCATGCGTGCGTTTCTCTGCCTGCATCTCAGTGTAACTCCAACCATAGCATGTTCTTTGTCAGCATTGCTCTTGATGTGTGTATGACATTGCGGTTAATACTCATTCATTGAAACTTGCTTGAGGAATAATGGTGTATGAAAAATAAGAATAGGTTTTACCCTTTCGAGAAATAAAACAGCAGGTGTTACGATGTTCAAACACGAAATAGATACCTTTTTTTCAACTCTGCAATTAACCACACGTATTTGTGGTGAATATGCAAACAAACATGCTCTGATAATATACGCATTGTCTAAGAAACTGATTGGTCAACAGCAGAGACGGGGTCTTTATGGCCGAGTGTCGCCAGTGTCAGATCAGAGAACGCCAAAAGGCGAACAGTACAAAGACAATGCACGTATCTGAGCATGTATAGCTCGGGGGTGAGTAGCTATATCGCACTGGTGGAGCCATCAACCATACTTTGATACTGGAAAAAAGGTCCTAGAATTATCGGTGTGTTTGCTTACCATTGTCAAACCAAGACCTCAACAATGTCACATCGCCGCTGGCTCAAGTCGCGATCCAACCTGGGATCGCGCTGCTGTCACCATCCTAGAATCTAGCCCAGATCCGGACAAGAGTGGAACAACACAGACGTCCAAAATAAACACCTCATTCGCGACCCAAACATCGCACCTCCCTGGCTTTACCACTCCTCCAAGATACCGGTGAAACCATCAACCGTATCAGGACATCAACAGGCCGATGCACAACATCTCCTTCTTTAATAATTAAAGATAAGCCAGAGTAGTGCGATTGTGGCCGTGCAAACCAAACGATGGACCTTGTAATAAGAAGTACAGACTGCCACCGTAGTCTTACCACACACTCTCCTAACAGACCTCTCAACATATGCACTTAGTGCCTGAATATATTGCCACGTACAATATTGTAATTGCCAAAATTAGTTTTATAAAAGTATTATTCACAACGTTCGCGTGACTGAAACGGTGGGGTTACGTTGGTAATGAGAAATGAGAAGTAGTACTATTGATTGTGTCAGCGTGTGCGCGTAGTGGTTAGCGCGCTGCGATACGAACCCGGCGACCCGAGTTCGATTCCCGCACACGGCCACCACCGGTGACGATTATCTGGAACGGTCCTGGGCCTCCCCGAGGTCGACTCAGCCTTAAATTAATATCTGGTGGGGTGTGTAGAGCTCGTCACTGGGGAGAAAAAGACGGCCGTGGGTGGTGCTGGCCACCCACCCCCTCGCGTGCCGTGCCGGCCTTCTTAGGTGCTCACCAACAGCACTTGCCCCAATAATTTGTTAAAGGTAATGCAGGGGGATCTTTGTCTTTGTGTGTGAAGGAGGAGGGGGGGGGAGTCTGGGATGGAGGCCGGCATGATTGCGGGTGGCGCAATGGAGGGGGTGTGTGCCCGCCGCACAGAATCATCGGATGTGCACCACCTGGAGGCGCTCGTCTCACCAGCCACCGAGCAGCTGTTTGGCCGTGTCATCCCCGTCAGCTTAATGTGCGTCCCTTGAAGCCGCCACCGGCTCAACACAACGCCTCCTCCTCTCCCTCCGGCGAAATGGGCAGAAGGCGACGCAAAATGCACTTGCAGCAAACCCCATGGCTTGTTTTGATGCCAGCAAAAACGATGCGCGAGATCCCAAATAGAGTGTTTTCCTTTATCAGATCAGATCGCGTAAATATAAACGTGTTGTTAAACCCGCCACCACCCAACACAGCCAGTTAGTAAGGTTTGTCACGTAAACAAAACATGCCAATTTGTTGCTATTTCAACACACCGGTTGTGTTTTGGAGAGTGAACCCACAACATTTACACTTCGAGTACGATGTTTCGCCGGTAATTACAACCATCCTCATCAGGCGATGCGAAAGATGTTTGCCGAGTTAAATAACTGGCATATGAATGTTCTGTTGGTTTTATGGTTTCTGAAATGCTAGGGATAGCAATGCTTATATTTCAGACGAATGTTTGTAAAGAGTTTTTGTTCTTTCTCTGATTTGCTTACATGTATTACCATAGATACAGTTGTTTTAACCTTTTTTATGTCTATTTCGTTTGTGGCCTATGTCTCTATTATTAAACAGACTTTTAAGATGCACTTGCCTAGTAATAAATAGCGATGTACTCCCTATGTAAGTACCATTTTTATCCAGCTGCCACCAGACTGAGTTATGGGCAAGCCCTTGTAATTTTAGATGTGCTTACAATTGTAATGCCACATTCCAACAGCCAACATAACTAAATCTTGCAAATATTTCCTTGCCTATCTATTTTAACTATTAATTACATTTGATCATATTTACATAAATAACAATTTCAGTTGGATAAGCATAAGCAATAAGTGACATATCATTAAAGTTGAGATCAAGTTAATCTCTACAACACAATGGACATTTTTTTTCCAAGGGTTACCTACAATATAATGTCTAACTTGTATTGCTTCAACGTCCTCTTTCTACGTGTTTTTTTGCCAATTTAAAAATAATTAGGTCTGACTTAATATATTCTTGTATTCACATATATATTAACAGCGAGAAGGCAAACCTTGCAGTGACCTTGTGCAATGATACGAATGAAATAATTGCACACGCCGCCTTTCTGGATTACCCCAACACGGCGTGTGTGGATCAAGCAGAGTGGCCGTCGTGGATGTGCAAACACTTTGACAGCGGCAAGTGCACTGTACGTATATTAGCGATTCGCTCACCTTTCCCATACTTTTCACTCCTATCGTGTTTTTTTGTTTGTTGTTGCTTTTTGGCCCGCTGCTACTGAACATCTGTGAAAAAGAGCTTTGTAGCTCATCGGATTCCTCCAGTATACATAAAGATTCTGATTGTGATTTTCCAACCATGCATTGTTTGCATATGAGTGGAGTGACCCTAAATTGGTAGCTGTAAATATGATTAATTTACCAGTGGTTAAATACACATTATATATTTTTGTATTCACATATATATTAAATATAAATCTTTTGCATTGAACAATCCACTCCTGGATTAATAGTTTTGGAATATGTATGCACTGTATATTTTTGCTATTGATGTTGGTAATTAATAAATACATTTTCGTGTGTTTACAGCCTTTGAATACACTCTTCATGCATTATTTTGTGGCCAAGTCTGGTGTGGAAACTGACTGTGCAAAACAAATCATCAGGTACCAACTCACAATCAAACATTTATGGACAAGATCAATAATTGATTAATATTTATGAAGTTATATTGTTGATTTATCACTTTCATGTTTCACGCAGAACGGTGTTCAATGCTGTGCCAGATCTCCACTTTGTGTTTTTACTTCTAAAGAAGAATGCATCACCAGGTGGGTAATCAGTTTGTACATGCAGCTCCTATATTTGCTATTTAAGTGCGTTCTTAGCTCAGAATATTTGTGTTTTCCTTTAGGTGCTGTACTGGAGAACATATTCACCAAAATGAAGATGCATGGACATGTGTCGGACCCTGGAGGGTCGCTTTATGTGTGCCACCGCCACAATCACTTTCCCATCCTCCACATTCGGCAGGCAAGGCAGGTAGCACCCCTTAATTAGGATAGGAAAAATAATAAGTAATTGCATCATACGTCAATTATGCAAGTACAAGATATGGTATCAAAATGTATATATACAAATACACTGCAGAGAAGGAGGGTGTTTGACATGGCATTGCACTCATGTGATCTTATCCAAAACTCATAACATCAGTTATGAAAGCCTTCGTGTTAAAAACACTCTGTAACCTTTTACACTATCGTGGTCATTAACTTGAATACGTCCATTCCAATGTAAGAGCAGTAGATAAAAAGTGGGGCTTCAAATAGATTGGTTTTACTTTTTAAGACCACGTTCTCATCTATTTGGATGAACCGACAAATGCAAACAATGTACAAATACTATTGCCAGATAATTAACAAAATATACCATCAGTATCTAGATTGATAACATTTCTTGATAACTGCTTTTTATATTCTTAGTTCTTTCGGTAAAGTCACGTTGAAGGGAAACAATAAAATAATAAAACATATATAAAACAATAAAAATTCTCACGACGTTTCGACCACAACACAAACGGTCGTCATCACCTGATGAACACAAACGTTATTGTTTTATATATATTTTATTGTTTCCCTTCAACGTCACTTTACCGAAAGAACTAAGAATATTAATTACTGCAGTCACGAAAGCTTTAAATCAAAATTTAATTGCTTTTTATCTTTCCTTTGTTGTCCTTCCCTGCACCTCTGATTAGTAGTATAAATACAATTTCACACAATCGTATAATCCTTCTCCTTTCTTTGAAGAAACTTTATATGCAATCGCAGATTAACTGTTTTTTTGGACGATGTGTGCAGGGAGGAAGACCACGATGACCTCCTTCCCATATTCAGCAAGCAGAACCAGCAACTGCGTAACACATATGGGGAGTTCTTCTTGGTTGAGCTCATTGAGGCACAGGATCAAAACAGTCACACAGCCGTAGCTGAGGTACCTCTATATACGCATCATTTTACTTCACCATGTGGCCATTGTGTGGTTCACTCTGCCATTAAATTGCTGATTTTTGTTGGTAGAGGGGAAGTGGTGGTGCACTGGTTAACACTATGCACTATGAACCTAGAGACCCCAGTTCGATTCCCAGCCACATAACAGAAGTGACAAGTGATAGGTTGAATCGGTCCTTCCCCCCTCCCGCCCCCTCCCCAACTCCCACTTCAACCTGCACTGACCAGCGTGGTGAAGTATGGTTAAACAAATCTGACGTCTAACACAATGTGGGGAGACCTGCATCCAAAAGCGGTTTGATAATGGGATTAAATTATATTCAAGCCTGCAACTTTGTTTGGGCACATTTAAATAATGTGACGTATATAATCTGGTACTTTTTGTCTCACATGAAGTAATCAGAACTTTGGAAGTAATATTTTTTGGATGGTGGAATATGCTCACTATGTTTATGACCTTTGTTAAATATAAGCAAGGTATAGCATTACTGTAATATGGAAAGCAAGAATATCTATTCGTTAAAGTAAATGATTGTAAAAAAACAAATAGTAATTTCAAGGGTAATAATTTCAAAATTTGCTTGTGACATTTTTCCTGCGTTCGGCAGGTGGATGGCGTTGGAGTTGGCTTCATGAGTGTACACAGTGAAGTGAACATCGCACTTCTAAATGACTGCTTTGAGCTGATCCCATTCCATGGACTCTGCAAAGCTCACCCAGATGATATAACAGAGCCAAATTCAGAAACAAGCAAGCAGTATGAATCAGGTACATAGCAACAATGTACTGATTATTATTTTAGATTACAGTTGTGAATATCTGCATCATGTATTTATCTTCAATGTTAGTCAAACTTTGTTTTGAGTAATACATGTTTGACCGTGATATAGATGCCTGTTCTATGTCCGTGCTAACTTTAACTGTACAGATGCTGAACAACTCGAAAGAACCGAGACAGATCTCAGGCCTGACTCTGTAACTTCACACTTTTCCCTGCCGTCTCAGCAGCCTCAGATATCCCAGCCACCGGAGGTAACAAATTTTAAAATTAAAATCATGAGCACTTCTACGAGCTGTGGGAGAAAAAATGTTGCCATGAGTTTTTAAAACGCATATATATTTATGGTGTAACTACCATTGTACATGCATTGTGCACAGGTTAGAGACAAGGAGAATCAAGGAAACTCTCAGGCGGTTGAGTCAGGCGGGTCTTTGGCGAGTGAAGGGGAGGCTGATAGCAGCTCTGACAATACCGTGAGTGAAAGAGATAAACATTTTTCTGTAGGCTGTTATTTCAGAGGTTAAACTATAATGATTATGGGCGCTGTCAGATACCCCCTGGCCGTTTGCAGTTGTCCAATTTTAATTTATATTACTTTGCCTGTATTCAGCAGAAAAAAGCCGGAGAAAGGTCTACAGGCTAAGTGATTTAAATACAAATACAAATTAGGCAAATAAAATAGACTAAGGGGGTGTCTCACACTATCATTCTGTACACATTTAGACTCATGCATAATACGTAAAATATTACGCAATTATACCATTAAATTGTTTTTAATGTATACTGTACAACATTACGTAGGGCACTCGGTCTCAGCAAGTGGAGTCTTCGGTGGACATTGGCAGCAAGACTACGATCCTGCAGCCACCGTCCAAAGCAGATGTGATTGTGTCTGAGGCTCCGGGTTTCAGGCCAGTCTACATGGGTGCTAGTAATGCATTTTGCATCCAACTTTTTTGCATTGATGAGAAGTATGAAATGAGGTAAGTTACACGCAGATTTGTTCACGCATTATTTTGTACGCATCATCCGTACTGGTCAATCACACATTTTATGTGAGTGTATAATATTCAAATAATGTCCACAAAGCTTACTTTGCACTCGACTGATTACATTTTTGTTTTGATCATTTCAGGTCCCAAGATTTTCTGCCCTATGTGTTTAATATCTTTCCGGTATGTGACAGTTCAACAAGTACAGTACATGAGTACAGCCGGCAGAGGGCATTAACGCACCTTATTCACAAATAAGGCCACACGAACAAGCTGGTAAGGCCATTGTATCTTGTGCGTGTCCTTTAGGTCAAGGACTACTGCATCATGACCGTACCCCACCTGCTGCCAGAGTTTCCTTTGCTGCACAGCTTGATGCGCGTCACTCCTCGCTCCGTCAGTGGCTTTTCACAGGAGCTCTACGTTGTCCATCGATCAGCCCTGCACAAGTGGGTCCTCTTCATTAATCTCTGGACTTGGTGCCATCATCGTGTTTTCACCATTGCTATCAAACACACCACACCTTATTCTTAGCGCTTTCGGTGAAGTCACGTTGAAGGGAAACAATACAATAATAAAAAAATATATATATATTAAACAATAAAAATTCTCACGACGTTTCGACCATAACGCAAACGGTCATCATGAGGTGTGAAAAACCAACGGCAAGAAACATTTGAAGGAAGTAGCGGTTTTCATTTATTTATTTTCAAGAGGTGTATTTATTTATAAAATCCGTTAGCACCACGGGCAGCGATTTGACAGTTTGTTTAGAAGGACGAGTCCATCTATGTTCTGAAAAGAGGAGGGGGGAGACGAAAAATTAATGTATGCTGTCTGAAAGCCACCGTAAGCGTGAACAATCAATTAAGACCTGAAATGGTTTATCAAATCCTTCCAATGATTGCTAAGCCAGAATCCATCTTCTCGGTTGAAATTGTCTTCATGAGGCCATCCACATATACAAGCACAGAGACAATTTCAACCGAGAAGATGGATTCTGGCTTAGCAATCATTGGAAGGATTTGATAAACCATTTCAGGTCTTAATTGATTGTTCACGCTTACGGTGGCTTTCAGACAGCATACATTAATTTTTCGTCTCCCCCCTCCTCTTTTCAGAACATAGATGGACTCGTCCTTCTAAACAAACTGTCAAATCGCTGCCCGTGGTACTAACGGATTTTATAAACAAATAAAAACACCGTTTGAAAATAAATACATAAATGCGAACCGCCACTTCCTTCAAATGTTTCTTGCCGTTGGTTTTTCACACTTGATGATGACCGTTTGCGTTATGGTCGAAACGTGAGAATTTTTATTGTTTTATATATAATTTTTATTATTTTATTGTTTCCCTTCAACGTGACTTCACCGAAAGAGCTAAGAATATGAATCACTGCAGTCACGAAAGCTTTAAATAAAAATTTACACCACACCTTATGAAAATCACATTGATATGAAGAGCCAGTATATTAAATGAGACATGGCGATGCTTAACCGAGGTGTTTTAAAACCTGCCCGTGCCCTGTCACGTGCTCCCATCTGTACCTATATGCTTGCAGCTCACTGTCACACCTCTGATCCGCACCTCTGATTAGCACGGTTGTCTACGTACGGTGCGAAAGAAGTTGAACATACATAATGTCACGGATCCCTGAGTACAGTATTGGGCTTCTGTAAAAATGAACCTCTTCGAAGTGAGATATATGGTCAAACAACCCCCATGACTGACATGGCATGAAAAGGACCTTCATCCAGGAGTCTATGGACAAAGAGCTGTACATTAATATGTTGCAACCTGCAGGTCAATGGTTGTGCGTGCTGCCCGGAGCAATGACAGTGATGCAGTGAAGAGCCTGGTGGAGACACTGGATCAGCACAAATTATTACTGGCAGACTTTAACCAGTTCAACCAGGCGCGACGGGACCCGGTAGGCTTGACGTACAGATCCAGCTCCCTTCCTAATCCTGTTTTTATCTCATTTTGCATCAAAGCGATATCGTAACTTGCTTGCTTCACCTCAGTGCAACTGTCCTTTGCCAGGGGAAAAAAACACACCTTTGGGATAACGCTTCTACAAGTCTGAGCTTGCCACGTGGGTGATGCTGATAAGTGTTGCATTAATTGTGGCGATATAGTAAGCGAATCTGCCGTGGTTTGCTGGGCATGGTGCACTGCATTGTGAATGTAATACATTTTTGTGTCATGCAGAATGGAACCCAAATCCGCGTGTATGTGGCTGAGATGTTGGAGAAAATTGTTGGTGTGGCTGTTGTCCGTGCAGAAGAGGTGTGTAATTATTAATTGTAAGAATTTACATTTTCTCATCAATGGGCATTGTACATTTAACTGTACATTATAGGTTATATTTACACATTTAACTGTACATTACAGGTTATATTTACACACAATTGGCTTGTAATAACTTGTTTTAAGTCCATTTATACGTTATCTTAAAATTTCCAATGTATGGTTCTGATTTTTTTACATTACAATAAACTTTAATGTTGTAAATTACAATGAGAGCTGTCAAAACTTAAGAATATTATATTGTTTAATTGGTTGTGGATCTCACAGGATATAGAATACATCAGATCACATTACAACATTGAAGACTTCATCTACTACAGCCATCACAGAAGAGATCAGCATGCTCACCTCTGCCACTTCGTCTTGAACCCAGCCTCTTACCTTTACACAAAACACTTCCTCAAGGAAGTCCTGAGGCTATCCCACTGCACATCTCTTTACTACCCAGTCTACCCCGGGTACTCAAAGAAAAGCGTAAGTGATTTCGATACTAGGGATCCACTGCTCATTTTACAACCAATGTTACACGAATGCTAAAAGGAAGCCATTTCCTTTATGTCCTCACCAGCAGGAGGCGACTGTGTACTTTACCAGCTGCATGAAAGAAAAAAACACTTATGGGCTGTGTTCTGTTCAGTCTTGTCTGTTACTTCCTACTGCATCCACACACTTTGGGTGCCCAAGGCTTACAGTTTACTCTGAATGTCAGTTTAAAAAATGGCATTCATGAAGCGTTGTGGTACTAATTCAACCTCCTCCCTTGCCAGTGGACAGAAAAGCATCACACACTGAGCTCAGTGCTGCACTGCCTGGTTCCTGTTCGTCCCCGCAGTCAGATCTCGTATCCATTGCATGAGTTGGGAGAAAATTCCCCCTCTCAAAGGGTATTGATGGAGCAGGTGAGTCACCGTTGACTTTTTTTGTACAAAATTACAATCTAAAATCGTTCAGAGTTACAGTACTGTACTGCTGTGCATATCTGCCTCGCTGGAGACTGAAGTATAGGTGGATACATGAAAAGGTCAGATATGTGATCATCTATCGAAAATGACAGACCGTGCAAGCATAAAGTGCACACCGCTTTAAACATGAGGAAACACTTTGCTGTGATTTAGAACTAAACGAATGTATGCAAGATAAACAATCAATAACTACGTGCGAAAAGGTCGTATATACAATAATTATAACAATTACATCATACACATGTACTGCACTGTGTGTGCTCATGGTCAGTACAGATGTATGACAGATTGGCCATCGAACAAAGCCGCTCACTGCATCACGTGCATTAAAATGCACTTCTGCGGCCGTCCGGAACGCTCTTCCTTCCGATATTAAGAAGCCACTGGAGCTATGCACTTTTAAATCGAGATTGAAAACTCATTTCTTCATAGCTGCTTTTTGTGTTTAGTTTGTTGTCTTTCCCCAGCACCTCTGATTAGCACGGTTGGCTATGTACGGTGTGCAAAAAGTGAAACATACAGTACATATGTACCACACTACATTTGATTTCAAACGTTGATGTTGACTTACCTTGATGCACGCTCTGATAAACCGAGAATGTGTTTTACCCACTTGTGTTTCACTGCAAGCTCCTTGACGAATGCTTGCAGATGTAACCATGGTGATTATGGCACATTTTATTGAATAATCTTTCAGTTTTCTTCAGAGATCTTTTGTCATGGTTTTATGTTGTATTTTTTTTCCAGGCGTAAATCAATTATTAACGATGCTTTCCACCCTGGCAGGACAAGTACGCTCTGAACCACTTTAACAGAAAGCTCACGCTGGAGCCCAAGGTCACAGTGAACGCTCGCATTGTCGTGGTTGGAGCGTCTGATACCGGAATCTCCTTCCTGGAAACCTTGGCTTTTTGGTAAGCCAACCTCTAGAAGCAAATGACACCACATCTAAGTGATTCTCTGCTGAAGGGCACAGAAGTGTCGATACAAATCAGTCGATTTACTCGGCGCACCTGAGAATTGTTCAGGGTAGATTAACCATGCCTCTTTATTTCCACTATGAAAACGTGGATTAGAAGTGGCTCCTAAGGCCTGCAGTCTATAACTAATGCCGTATCAACTTCATCTGTGCTAAATAGTACGTCAAGTATATTTGTAAACATGAATGAATGTATGAAATCCTCGCTAACATCAATTGTGGCTTTGTGTTTCACAGCCCACACTTGCGTTTCAACAACCTGACTTTGATATCTACACACGGTCTCCCGGGGGAGCTGCCCCCTTGTCCCATACGAGAAGGATTTCTAGCCAGCAGGTATTTCAGAGAACACAGTGGTCTCTATAAATATAATCATCTGTTCCAAATAACCAACGTACATAGCACATATGCAAGTAGTGCATAATTCCAATGTACTACTGAATTTTCCATAACAAAGCAATTTTTATATTTGTTGAAAAAATTATTCTTACCCACTGATATTTAAAACAGTCCCTGTTTCCCCCCCCCCTTCCCAATTCCTGTCCTTTCTGCTCCTCCATGCTCATGCACTCTGCTGCAGTCACTGTTACAGCACAAACGACCTTGCCCTGCTGTCCCTCCACTCGCGTGTAAGTGTGGTGGTTGGCAAAGTGGCGGCCATCAACCGCTCAGCAAAGCATGTCGTGGTAACAGGAGGTGGCCATGTGTCCTATGACCACCTGATTCTGTGCACTGGCCAGCAATATGAGGTAAGAGGACAGCTTATGGAAGCATAGAGCTCAAAGTGTGATAGCATACACTTGTAATATGCAATATTAAATTTTAATAAGATCATATTACGGGCAGCCCCCAACTTACAAACGCCCGACTTACGAACATCTGCACTTACAGACAAGTTTCCTTAAGATAATGATTTTTAATAATCTGACTTGCGAAAGTGAACACGCACTGGCGAACCAAACCGCGAAACTGTTTGGTTTGACACATGTACATATGTACAACATTTATTCTTATAAGTTTAACAATGCTTCCCTTTTTTGTAGAACCGTAACACTTTTATAACACTGACCGTATGTGCATATATATTCAGTACATTATTGTGTTCCGACTTATGAACGGGTCTCAGGAACGGAACCCATCCGTAAGTTGGGGACTGTCCGTAATTTACAAGGGTTGCGTTGTTGGAATGTTTTGTTTAGTTTCTCACTTGTTTTTTTGGTTTAAGTTGGCTATTAATAAACACTGTCTTTTTTATGCAAGGTTTCGGAGTTATGTCCGTGCTGTGACAGAGCAGAATAGAATCAATGACTACTATTGTTTCATTCCTAACAATGTCATGCTGCCAGGTACCGTGTCCAACGGAAGCTGACTTGAGCAAACTCCTGACTAATGCGGAGGTGCCGAACAGCCCTGATCGCCGCTATAGCGGACCTGTTCCCGCAAATCTCTTCACCCTCAATGACCAAGACGACTGCCAACATGCCCTCGAATGGCTGAGACGCAATTTCCTTGGTGGGCAAGGTGAGGAACACATGCCCAGCACCTTTTCAGTTTCATTTCAGTTTCAGCATCATTTATCAGGTATAGCCCTGTGAGCCATTCGGCTCTTGAATCGGGTGCAACCGCAACAAACAAAAACATGAACAAGAAACATCTTAAAGTGACTACGCACAAACAGACAAATCCAGGAAAAAACAGCAAAGTCTTCCAGAAAAAGCACCGTATATCAATGTTGTGTGAAAAAATCCCAGTGGGATGCAAGTCAAACAATAACAACCATAAGACAATTTAGATTAAAGTTATCAGTCTAACTCTGCACTACAACAAACAAATATGGCTAAGTTTTTAATCAAAATATGGCTAAACCAAAACGTTTTTGAAATCACCAAAATAAAGCTATTAAAGCAATGTAACAGTGATCATAGGAAGTGTGATTGAAATTTTACAATAAACGATATACATAACATGTACGACCAAACTTTGCAGCCATAGCTGGCTGCATGGGTCACTCCATAACACCTGCATGCACGGCCCCTCCGATTATCCTTCCCCCGCACCTCCGATTAGCACGGTTGGCTTAGTACGTTGCGAAAGAAGTTTAACGTGCACACTCAGATGGTTCTTGTAGAAACCTTAAGTTGAAAACTAAATTTTGGGAAGATGCAAGGTGGAAAAGTGGTCGGAGCGCTGAGCTGCCACTGCACTTAGCTGATTGGAATCGAGGCAACCACCTGTGATTAAACTAGGTTTGGAAATATAGAAGTGTGTTGATGGGCTCAGCCTGATCAGTGATTGCTGCAGAAATAAACCACTACAATAAATTAAGTTCTACACTTAATTTGGCTAATTTATACCTCTAAGAACTACAAATATAGTTTTGACTGTCACGCAATCAACATCACTCTTTACGGCATGGTGGATGGGAAAGTACTCTACCGTGAGGACCAGTATTTCTGTGATATCCACTTCCGTGGCCAATCTCTGACATGAATACATTTGGATGTGCGAGAGATCGGAATGAATTTTTTCCATCTCATGCCCTGACACTGATATCACAAATGGGATAAAATTCATGAAAAGACCAAAAAAACCTAAACATTGTTTTACTCAGGGGCGGAGCCAGGATTTCAGGCCGGGGTGACATTCAACAAATTATAATTTCAAGAATGATTAGAGAGTCAGGCTATTGAACTAGACGCCATTGGTTGGCGACACACTGACAATGCAGTTGCAGACCGAGTGTCATACACTTATACGCAGAATGTCACCCCTGTCACCCCCCCCCCCTGGCTCCACCCCTGGTTTTACTGGAATGGGTATCTGTGCATTATCATTATTGTTATTATTATTATTCTCGTTCAGGCAATGCCATTGTTTATGGGAGCAGCCTAGATGCGTACACGACAGTGCAGACCCTGCTGAAGCTTGGTGTAGCTGGTTCACGCATTCATTTGGCTGAGCCTCCTCACGGCTACACAGTTTGCTGCTTCAACAACTTTGCGGTGGAATCGGCAATCCGCGGTGCGCTGCTTCAAGCCGGGGTGAAGGTCCATTCCTCCTGCTTGCTTGCCCACTGGAATGAGAATGCACAGCAGAGTGACCTCATCACTTCTGCCTCCTTCACGACTGACACCAAACCTTTCAGTCTGGAATGCAGCGTGAGTTGTGTTTTATCGCTTATTTTAATAATTCACCCCAATTAAACCATATGCTGGTGGTATGCAGCACACTTTAAAGCGGACAAAAATCTTACAAATATTTTTTAATTAAACATGTCAACTCCCAAAGAAGTCTTAATAATGCACTTTAATATGCAATTGTTCAGCAAATGCAGTGTGAAATTATTGAAATTATTTGCGCATTCAGATCAGCGTATATTGCCAATTTTAGGCATTCTTTGCATTCTACCGGAAAGGAGTGGACTATGAGGCTTTCCGGGCAGCCAATGACTCCTGCCTGGTGTTCGACGGTCGACTGGTGATCGACGCTTCCTTCTGCACAAGCGACGGCGCGGTGCGTGCCGCTGGCACGCTCACCAAGTACGCCCGCCGCTACTACGCCGACCATGCGGCGCATGCCGGATACAACTCGAAGGAGGTGGGCTTCCATCTGGCAGCTGGCATGCTGCCCCTGTTGGACCCGACACTGGAGCCTCCTTCCAGCGACGATCTCTCTGACTCGCTTAATCGCCTGGTGCCTACGTTCACGGCACCCAATATCCAGGGCAAGTTACCCAAAGCAGTACGGCGATGATAAATCATAATACGTTCAAGAAAATGATAGTAACTTTGTTTTTCTACGTTTATATATATAGATTATATTAAGAGGTACTGAAACATCAATTTTTTACTTATTGTGTTTCCACAGGTGGGATTTTGCCCAGAGGCTACCACTACCTGCATATTGTAAAACCAGGTGTCGTAATTCCACTGGAGGCTCAGATGGCTCGACCAGACTATGCAAGTATAGTTCGGACAGTTATTTTTATTTGCTGATGAATGCATCAACCACTTTAGTCAAAGCCTTCATATCGTTTTTAAAATACTTATTTTTCGAGTGAAAATGTAAAAATAAATGTTTTTTCTCATGTATTAAAAAGCGACGTAAAAAAATTATTCTGTATGTTTTAAGAGCGACACTGTAAATGCTATATGGCTACAGAACCGCTGGGCGTGAATGCGGTGCCTTTGGTTAGCAGGGCCGAGAGTTGGTAACGGGCCGTCCCGAAGACGGTGATTACTTCCGGCTTCACGTGGGTCGTCATGGCACGGTAGAGACGCTGACGTGCCTGTCAGCCAAGCCCCTGCCGATCAGCAACTACGTCCATTTGTATGGCCAACACGAGCAACTACTCAACACACTGCTGTCACGCTTCGACGAGGGTCTCATCCCAGACTTGTACAGGTACTCCTCTTAAACATTAATTGGCACCCACACGGAGCATCCATGGGGACACTTGCCAGAGGCCCCCCCCCCTCCGCCTTGCTGCTGTGGCACTAGGCACCGTTCGACCACGACCAAACATTTGAACCACCAGCTGCCACCGCTTCCTTCGTTTCCAAATGTTCAGCTACCCATTAGAGGGCCACCTGGGGCTCCCGCCCTACCCTTCCCACGGCAATGACTGTTGTTGCTGTTTTGCCATCATAGCTGTGGGCCAACAGTGTTTTCGTTGATTTCTGGCCTAGGTGGCATATGATGGTTGTGATATAGGGTATATCGAACAAAGATGGTAACTGCATCACGCGCTTTCAGATGCGCTTCTGCGGCCGTCTGGAACGCTCTTCCTTCCGATATTAGGAAGCCACTGGAGCTTTGCACTTTTAAATCTTGATTGAAAACTCCTTTCTTTAGAACTGTTTTTTGTGTGAAATGTGTTGTCCTTCTCCAGCACTTCAGATTAGCACGGTTGGCTACATACGATGCGAAAGAAGTTCAACATACATACAAATCGCTTACCAGAATGGGGCACAGATGTGCGTGCTGTCACAATGGATATATCACTTTTCAAATTCCAGCTACCTGATGCCACGCTACTCAATAATTCAAGAATTTAGAGCACGATGTTCAACAAGTATAGTCGAAGTTGTACATTGGGTTTTTCTCACTTTGTTTTTTTTTTACTATACACAGCTATTTTAGACAGCCCTGGTGCATGGCCATTTTCCATGACCGCTTTCAAGACCTTCAGAGGGAACTTCGGCAGCTGGTGTCCACCGCACAGGTTGTTTGCTTTAGATTTTACACAGTTCACAAATTAAAAAAAATTGCCTTCACAGCTTCTGCATTCTTGAACTACCGCAAAGTCTCCGATTGCTGTGTAAAAACAACTGATTGCGTATTTTTTAAGCCTTTTGGTGAAAATGTTTTGGACCATACGTATGGATCTACAGTACATATGTGTTAATTATATCCATTTGCCTATGATTGGATAACCCAGAATGTGCCTGTTCGATTAGCACGGTTGGCTACGTATGTGGGAAAGAAATTAAACAGAAACTATAAACCATTTGAAACTTTTTTTTGATTACCACGTAAGGCCCACTGAGCTATATAGCTGTTTTTCATAAGCGACCTGGCCACAAATGACAGCTCAATGAAGCGGCTTATTGCGTGTAAATGTATAGCAGCCAAATAATCTAAACCTACATACATATGAAATTCATAATAAAGGTTTTTGGGTTAGATCGCGTTATTTATAAATATGTCGTAACCCTCCACCACCCGACTTGGCCAATCAGCAAAAAAAGTGTCACGTTGACAAAAGACAATTAGTTCACTACTTTAGCCCACCGGTGTGTTGAAGAGTGAATCCACAACATCTACAGTTTGAGTTGTACGACGTTTCGCTGGTAATTACATCCAGCATCATCGGGCAATTCGCCAGAATGGTAAAGCCCTCACTTGCTCTCGGTCTTAAATAGAGCAGCAGGGTGACGTCATCATTTAACTCATTTCAGGTGCAGTGATTTATAAATAACGCGATCTAACCCAAAAACCTTTATTATGAATAATATTGGTCACGAAAGCCTACGTGTTAAACTGATACATATGAAATTGTAAGCTTAGGGTTGAGCCTGAATAGTGTTTGGATGGGGGTGAACAAATGCATAAGACAAGTATTTTAGGCTGCTGTGGGGCTAAGTTGAGGATAGCAGAGGGCAATGCAACAATATACTGTCTATATATTGTTGTATTGTACAATGCTTTTGTATCTACTCTCCCTGCCTTTACCAACCCGCACCACACAGGGTAGTGAAATGTGGTTAATAATTCCCAAAATCCACACGGTGTGGAGAGGCCCCCCATCTAGTAGTAAATTGACAAAGGGAGTCTATCTTCTTTGGTTCTTTCGGTAAAGTCACGTAGAATGAGAATGAAATAATAAATTGATAAAATAAAATAACACAATAATATTCTCACGACGTTTCGGCCACAACACAAGCGGCCTTCATCAGGTGAAGGGACAAGACTGTCTGGTAGGACAGCGCTGGAGTCTCGTCCCTTCACCTGATGAAGGCCGCTTGTGTTGTGGCCGAAACGTCGTGAGAATATTATTGTTATTTTATTTTATCAATTTATTATTTTATTCTCATTCTACGTGACTTTACCGAAAGAACCAAAGAAGATGAATCATTGCAGTCACGAAAGCTTTAAATCGAAAGGGAGTCTACATACATTAATTTAAACATGCAATTATTTTGAATGTCATGCTGTTTCTTCTTACCTGCAAAAATGCATGCGATTAGTTCTTACCTACATAGTTACTGTGTAAGGATAATGTATCGTTTTTTTTCAGTCGTATTACTATATTGAATGCATTATATTGCATTTAATGTGTTTTTTTACCTGTGAAATTGTCAGTGATTTTAAATTGTGCTCATAAATATGAGTGGCTACATATTTGGCCAATTAGTTGTCTTAAGTATAGTGTAAATATGGTCAGGATATAGGGGTCAAGGTTTTATATGTGTACCAGTTATTAAAAAAAAACTTGAAGATTTTCTAAAACAGTAGCACTTTTCTGAACCACGACTGCCAAGTTTCGTATTGATTGTTGTGTTGTATTGTACGAGTATGGTGAGGACACAATAGATCATTCCAGTATTTCTACGTTAACCCAACACCCATTGGTCTAGATCAATACAAAATAAAATAAATGGTTTAAAGTTTTAACAAGAGCACAGGGTTTTGTTTTAAAGTGAAATTGTACTAAGGGGAAAACAAACAAGGAATAAGCTAAATTTTGATTTAAAGCCTTCGTGACTGCAGTAATTCATATTCTTAGTTCTTACCGAAAGAACTAAGCATATGGAATAAGCTGTTCTGCAAAGTTATTTAAATCCACAATAATATTGGTCGTGAAAGCCTACGTGTTAAACTATTTAAATCCATGTTGTCTTCTTAAATTTGCACGAAGGTATTGATTATATATGCATAAATTATATTTTGAAAATCATAAATGATGAACATTTATTACATCTTTTGTATTCGATGCCTCAGAACAACCCTGAGTGTTTCGCGAGTAGAAGAGAGCCTGGTACATTCATGCATAAGCCGCTGGGTTTACCTTGAAAAATAATGACAAATTTTCGTGGCACATTCGCACGACTTTCGTTCAACGAAGAGGAGAGGCCTTGCATCGCTGGTTGGCACCGCAAGCTGACTTGGTGCTCTTTGCTGATTGTCCAGGCGGAATCAGTGCCCTCGATGCTGGAGCTCGCCACGCAGCTGGTGCAGGGAGACTTATCCCTGCTCGACGGTGGCCCACAGTCTCTCCATGAGCAGTTCAAGAAGCTGGGTTACAAGAAAGCTGTGGAGACCCGACTCATCTCGTATCTGCAATACAATCACTACCACCTGCCCATGTACTTTCGACCTGGCATAATCTAGAGCCTTGCTACCAAAAGACAATTTTAAGTGATTTTTTATTGGTAATTAATGGTGGTTATGTCAATTGTTTTCATGGGGATTTTCCTGTTTTTAAAATATTGTTGATTTAGAATATTACTCAAACGCTGTAAAATATCTACTAGTTGTATGGTTGGATCATCAGATGGCTTATTAGAGCCACCACAATAGATAGTAGCCCTTCTGTAATCCAATACCCAACATGGATCACAATTTTAAAATATATCTGAATGATTTGAAATAATAAGCTTCTTCGTTGATGACTGAGCAAAAAAGTTATCCTCATGTTTTGTCTTTATACATGTGTAGTGTCCTCCTTCTTAGCGGCGTGTGTGTGCATGTGGTGTGCAGTGCATACACTCAGTCGGAGACGAGGTAGTTTCAGGAGGCACCGTCTCTCTCTTTATTCCTCTATCTCGTTCACACCACCCACTCCGGCCTCCTCTCTCTCACGACTACGCTGCCGTACAACCCGGCCCAGACATGACCCTGTCCGCGTTGCACCGAGACGGCCAACTAATGTTTGGCCGTGTAATGATCGGGCGAATGCGGCAGCGACGAAGGCGACGACAGCGACGACGAGACGAGTCCACTCCCAGAACCGTCAGCCTGGAACTCTCGCTTTCCGCTGTTTATATTCCACTTGGCGCGGCTTAGCTCCGCCCTAGCCGCGCCTCCCTTCTCGAACCTACCAGAGGGTTCCAGGAACCTCCCTATGAGGTATACCGTGACCCTTGACCCAGTTCCTCCGCCCTGCCGGCACACACACCGTGTATATGCGTGTGCGCTGTGTCCACCGCAGTTGCTGCTGCTGGACAGCAGTCGGCGCTGTGTCACTACACATGTACAGTACAGCCCTTTGTGAGTCCACTGCTGGATGTGAGGTCATTCCCATGCCACGCAGATCATGGGGGCATACTTCACCACGCTGGCCGGTGCAGACTTGTGAAAGCGGGCAGCATATACTCTGGGGCACAAGTAGAGTACAACTGTGAATGCCTTATTCTGCCCACAATATAACCCTGCAACCAATAACATCTCGTTGTTATGCACGTAAATGGGTACAAACTCAATGATCAACATAAAACAGACTTGAATTGCCTTGGCTCGCTGCTTCACTTGAGACTGTGCTCAGAACAGTCCATTGAAATTGGTCGCTTTACATTTGTAAAAATATTCTGTAATTTTTTCACGAGCATTGTACCTGCACAGTGGCTGCTGAAAGTTGCCTTGACATGTGGATTGAAATAACAAAAACATTCTTGACAAATGTTTCAAGAATCATAGCAATGGACCTTTTACAGAAATATTTCCATATTTGAACAGTTATTAAATACATCCTGAAATGTAATTCTGTGTCACCGTATTATTACTGAACTGATAGACATGCCATGGCCTATGTGACAAAACGTGTCCGTCATCATCGGCCATAGTCTATCCACTGCTGGAAGAAGGCCTCCCCAATCCATCGCCATCGCATGGTGTCGTGATGTATCAATCCAATCCATATAGTTCTGAGCTGATTTCACAACTCCATCTCTTTGGTATGAAAGATGTTTAACTTATTTCGCACCGTACGTAGCCAATCGTGCTAATCGGAGGTGCGGGGGAAAGACAACAAACAAAACGCAAACATCAGTTACAAATACATTAGTTTTCAATCTCGATTTGAAAGTGCATAGCTCCAGTGGCTTCCTAATATTGGAAGAGCGTTCCAGATGGCCACTGAAGCCCCTGCGAGGATGACTGGAGTTTGCGTGATGGTAGACATTATCTCAGGCCCATTCTATATTTTTTTTGCTTTAAAAGCTGTGTTTTTTTACTCATACTGTGCTTGATGGAAATAGTGCTCTGAGAGTATTGCTGTTTTGGTGACTTAAAAAAAACTGATGGTGCTGACATTGACAATGCATAAACCATCACATGCATACGCATATTAAAAGGCAATACATTTGTGCTGCCATTCCGTCCGTTACAGAATTGATTATACATGTGCTATAATGGAGTAAAATCCTGTATATCGGTGGTTTTCAATTTCCAGACCTTGCAACACAACCGTTCATACAATTTCACTGTTTATGTCTAAATCCAATATTAAGTAATTTAAGAGGCTGGCCGTCCGTTCATGGGCAGACGGGAATTACAAGCCTTCACGTTGGATACAAGTGGAGGCGTTTTAAATTTAGCGCTGCATTGACTGCGTGCATCGGGCCAATAAACACGAAACACAACACAACACCTTGGCATTTTTCGATGTAAAGCTTTCGTGACTGCAGGGATGCATCTTCTTGGTTCTTTCGGTAAAGTCAGATAGAAGGGAAATAATAAAATAATAAAAAATAAAACATAATAAAACAAAATTCTCACGACGTTTCGGCCACAACACAAGTAGCCTTCCTCAGGTGAAGAAACAGCACTGTCGGAAAGACAGCACTCCAATGAACACTGCTAAGCTTGGCAGCGTATTTTAAGCTGGGTGGGAGGAGCAGAGCGCCTTGACATAGGAGTTTACATATCAACAGAAGAATTTAGCATTGATGTAACTGTGTTAATGTGAGAGATTAGCAGGATGTTAAAGTCAGAAATTAGCATGTAACTGGGAGATTAGCATGATGTTAGTGTGAGGATTTAGCAGGTAACTGGTCACGGAAGTAGCTATGTTAAAGTTAGAGTTTACATATCAACAGAGGTATTTAGTATATTGACGCTAAATAACTGCAACTACCCAACTATCATACAATAAACCGATGTGAAAGAACTAAATATAAACTACATCAATATAATCAATGTACTCAATATATTCTCCACTAAGCTGAGCTACTAACAATAAGTCAATATACATTACACTTCTATGTCGCGAAAAATATAATATGCCTCCAACTAATCTTTTTATTATAAACTGCCATAGACAGACCCAAACATTGAATTATACACTGTGTTACTATACACTACCCTATACTTTAGATTATAATAATATTAGACTTGTAATATTACACTATGTATTATATTATTTTACCAACCCTACTGTATACCACACTGCTGTATATTCACTATACAATTACAATACTATATATTACCAAATAAATTATATTAAACATTACACTGAAAGGTACTAAGAGATTAGCAGAATGTTAAGGTGAGAAATTAGCATGTAACTGGGAGATTAGCATGATGTTAATGTGAGGAATTAGCATGTAACTTGTCACTGAAGTGGCTATGTTAAAGTCAGTTTACATATCAACAGAGGCATTATATTAACGCTAAAGACTGCAACTACCCAACTATCATACAATAAACCGATGCGAAAGAACTAAATATAAACTACATCAATATATTTTTTTATTTAAAGCTTTCGTGACTGCAGGGATTCATATTCTTGGTTCTTTCGGTAAAGTCACGTAGAAGGGAAACAATAAAATAATAAAAATATAAAACATTAAAATATTATTTTATTGTTTCCCTTCTACGTGACTTTACCGAAAGAACCAAGAATATATACATCGATATAATCAATGTACTCAATATACTCTCCAATAAGCTGAGATATTAACATAAAGTAACTGGGTATACACTACACTATATAATGAACACCATATTGGTAAACTGATAAAAACTCAAATATAAACTACATCAATATTATCAACAAACTCAATATACTCTCCCATCAGTTGAGCTACTAACAATAAGTCATACATTACAATTCTATGTCGAAAAAAGTGGCGGTTTCTTTTTTCTCAACGTTAGCACCACGGAAAGCAGCGAGCGTTGTTCAGACGGACGAGTCCATCTGTGCTCGGAACAGAGGAGGGGGGGAGAGAGGGAGAAACAGCCACGATGCGCTGCTCTGTCCTGTGTTGCGTTACAACTATGCTATAAACTAGGCTACTATACATTACAATATTATACCTTCCAATCTAAACTACACTATATAATATCGTATACACAGCCCAATATAAGCTCTAACATGCATTATATTGATATGCCTCCAACTAAACGTTTTTCTACATTACACGACTATACACCGTACTATACACTGCCAGAGACAAACCCCACCATTGAATTATACAATGCGTTACTATACACTACCCTATACGTTAGACTATAAAAAATTAGACTTGTAATATTACACTATGTATTATTCTACCAACCCTACTGTATACCACACTGCTGTATATTCACTATACTATATATTGCCTCATGAATGATATTAAACATTACACTGTTATACTATCTATTATTATACAATATGCTATAAACCATACCATTGACCGTCGTGTGAAAGGTACTAAGAGGCAGTGCTAGCGAATGGACTGCGGTGTGAAAGTCACTGTAAAATACAATAAATCAAGAACCGAAATGGTGTATCACGTCTTTCCAATTATTACTAAGCCAGAATCCATCTTCTCGGTTGAAATTGTCTCTGTGTTTATATATGTGGATGGCTTTATGAACGAATTTATCATGGTAGCCGAATGGCTTGCAGAGAACCTCTGTCTTGGAGAAGTCAATGTCATGTCAGCCCACTGAATTATAACAGTGATCTGCCACGGCTGAGGTGTTCGTCCTACCGTGTTTCAAGTCTGCTTTATGTTCACGGATGCGGTCCAAGATATGTCGTTTGGTTTCTCCAATGTAACTGCTACCACAAAGGCAACTTAGTTTGTAGACGCTCGGGTACTGTATGTCTGGAACTACATCTTTTACAGACGGGACCAGATCACGGATTTTATGTACTGTGTTGAATCGGACCTGGATCTTGTGTTTATTCCGGATTTTGGAGATATTTTTTGTGACCCCCGCAATGTAGGGTAAGGTGATGGTTTTGAATGGCTCCTCAAGAGGATCCTTCTCCATGGTTGGAGTGATGGCTTTGCGGATTGTGTAGTTGGAGTAACCATTAGCCTTGAGAGCTTGGTGTACGTGCTTGAGTTCACTGGCAATGTGTTCCTGGTCGGAAATGCATTGGGCTCTATGGTATAGAGTCTTGATGAGGGAATTCTTCTGGGATGGATGATGGTGGGAATCCGGTTTTAAGTAAGCATCTGTATGGGTAGCTTTCCTGTAGACAGAGTGGCTCATTGAACCATCAGGTCTCCTTTTAATTAGGACATCCAAAAAGGGTAGCTTGCCATCTTTTTCTACTTCCATGGTAAATCTGATGGCTGGGTGTATGGAATTGATGTGGTCGAGGAATTGGTCTAGACAGGCCGGCCATGTGGCCAGATGGCAAAAGTGTCATACACGTACCTCTTCCATAAGGTCGGGCGTAGAGTGGCAGTCTGGATGGCGTCAGTCTCAAATTTCTCCATGAAAACGTTGGCTACCACCGGAGATAGGGTGGAGCCCATTGGGGTGCCCTCAGTTTGTTTGTTGAAAGTTCCATTCCAGGTGAAGTATGTGTTGGTTAAGCAGTGTCTCACCAGGGGGGGTACATCAGTATGCAGTCCTTGATGAACCAAGTCTTCAATGATTGTGATGGTGTCAGGTACAGGAACTTTGGTGAATAAGGAAACCACATCAAAACTGACAAGCAGGTCGTCTGGGGACAGGGAAATACCCTTGATTGTCAATACCAGGTGAGTAGAGTTTAGTACCGCAGAGGTGGTTTTTCCAGTAAAAGGCCGCAGGATTTGAGACAAAAAACGAGCCAGTTTGTAGGTGGGGGAGTTGATAGTAGAGACAATGGGACGAAGGGGTGTATCTTCTTTATGTATCTTTGGAAGGCCATATAATCTTGGTGGCCTGGCCGCAGAAGGTTTCAACAAGAACTGTTTGGTTCGATCAATAAATGCAGTTGAATCAGAAATGATTTTGTTGGTTTTGATGACGAGGCTGTTGGTGGGGTCTCCTCTTATTTTTGTATAGCTGACATCATTGAGTAGTTCCTGAATATCATTGTTATATTCTATTTTGTCCATGATGACAGTGGCATTGCCCTTGTCGGCTGAGAGGATGTCAATGAAACCAAGTTGTCCTTTTTAAATTGAGATAATTCAAAACGCGCATCTTTGCTGATGTTGCTAACTGGCATCTTAGCATTTTTGAGGGTTGCAGCGATTTCCGATCTTGCTACGTCTGCAGCGATGTGACCCAGGCCCTTGAGATGGGCAATGATATCATTAACTGGTATGTGTTTAGGTGTGACTGCAAAGTTTAGCCCTTTAGCTAAATCGGATTTCAGATCATCAGAAATAGAACTGTTACTGTGATTAATTACGACTTTGTTAACGTCTAGTTTTTCGGTGTGTGGGTCCGATTTCTTGTTGGAGAGGCGATTGAATTTGGAAACCAAGTTGTCCATACATTTGGTCGACATAGTGGCAGCTGAAGAGGCAATCATATTGTCTACAT